ATCCAAAGCTCAGTGGAATGGAGTGGGCAGGAGCCCATACCCTTCCCCTTCTGAAAGTCTGGATAAAAAGGGGGTCCTGCCCAGTCCCTCACTTCCTTTTCGACCGCACATGCAGTTGCCTCACATATTGGAACTTCTCTGCTCAGTTGCCTTTTCATTTTCTTCTCTTTCCTGCTTTTTGCCTCTAATATAACTTAAAAAAATTCCTCTACCCTATTCCCTCAGCATTATCTCTCCTCAAACCTCCACCTGCTTACCGAGGCAGCTTCCTGCCATCTCCCTCTCCTCTCCTTCCCCATCTTGCCTCCTTACCTCTCCTCCACATGCTTCCCCCACCTGACCCTCATGGCTAACCCAGCCTTTTGCCATTGCTCCTCCTGCGTTGCCCGGATACCTGCAGCAGACAGCCATTCCTGCTGCCTCCTTTGCCTGGAAGAGGGACACGTGGTTGAAACCTGCCTGCACTGCCAGGCATTCAAAAAACAAGCTGCCCTCTGCCAAGGAGTCCTCTTGCCCAACGAGGTGATTGAGGAAGAGGGCTGCTGCCTCCACCACCTTGAAAGGACCATCTGGGGGCCGCAACGGCTTCCAAACACAAGAATCATTGTGCTGCTAGACTGTCCCCATCATTGGCCACCTCCTCTCACAGTGACCACCTGGCACACACCAGATTCGGGAGTACCCCTGGACCAGACCCCCATGTCCCTGGAGGCATATTCCCCAGCCAGGCGCTTGGACTCTTTGCACCCCCAGCATGTGCCCGGCCTTCCTCGCTGCTAGAATTCATGGCCTCTTTACTCAGCCCTCAGTGGGCATCGCTCTCCCCACTTGCTGCTCAGCCCACTACCTCCTCGGGGGCCCCCACCATCATCACGCTCCTCCTTCCACAATTGGGATGGATCCATGTCCTGGTCGCCAGCCTCAATGTGATTGCGTGACCAATCCGACTTCTCGGACCGACCAGCTGCAATGGCAAAGCAATTGTGGAGGCGCTGCATCAAGTCAGATGACCTCTCCTCCTCTGACTCCCATGGAGTGCCCCCCCCATCTACTGCTGACCTCCTGATGCTGCTGCCACTGTGCCAACAGCCACGCTACATCTCAGCAGCCATGGCCCCATGCTCACCTCACTTGCCTCCGCTCCTCACCAGCAAATGAGCTCTGACACCAACCTGCCATGAATTTTTGATGCTGGGTGCATGCAGAATCACCAATCGAATGGTGCCAATCGAAACTGGTGCCACACTTAGGAGTGACAGTGCGAAATATTCTCTCATGCCAAGGAGGGCCGGTCTACTCACCATGCCAACGAGGCCCAGCATCGGGGGGATATCGACTCTGCTTCCAGCCCCAAGCGTCGAGACCTCCACAGACACTGAAGGGCACACTGGTGCAGGAGGGACTCTGAGGACTTGGACTCTGATCGCCAGCCCTCCTGTGAGCGCAACTGCAGTGCCTGCTGCTCCCACCACTCCCACTCTCCTGTGGATCAGCGACTGACCTCTTCAGCATCGTGTCAAGCACCCAGTGCTTTTGATCGCTGCCGGTCTTTCTCAAGGGAGACAGGTCAGAGTCTCTGCTGACCTCTGCTGACCAGTTGGGGGCAGAGTCGGTCTGCCCCCAACTGTTCCAGTCGCCATCACTGCAGGATTCCACCTTATACCTGGGACGTGATCTTGGTGTTCCAATCTTAGTTGCCCATTGTCCATGCCCCAAACCCTGCAGAAAATGGGAATACTTGGCTCAGCCATACTGAACATGAGAAAGAACTTGACATTGTTGTAGATCACAAGCTGAATATGAGTCAGTAGTGTGATGTGGCTGCAAAAAGGGCAAATGCTGTTTTAGGCTACATTAATAGAGGTATCACTTCCAAATCCCACGAATTACTAGTTCCCCTTTACTCTGTACTGGTTAGTCCTCATGTAGAGTACTTTGTCCAGTTCTGGGCACTACAGTTGAAGAAAGATGCAGACAAGCTGGAAAGAGTTCAGAGGAAGGCAACAGAGATGATCCAGCAACTGGAAACAAAGCCTTGTGAGAAGAGATTGATAGAAAATGGGCATATTTAGTCTTGAAAAGAGAACATAGTTATCTATAGTAACTACTTATCCATAGTAATTTAACATAATTATCTTTTTTTCAATGTAGCACATCAAGCTGTTAGGAAAATTCCCAAATATTTAACCTTTTTAACTATTTGAAGATCTACTTGTTCCATCGAAGTTGTTTTTTGCTCCAATGAAAGATTTTTAACTAACAGTTTAGTCTTTTCTCTATTTTCATCCTGGTGACTTCACCATAACCTTCCATTTTTTTTAAGAGTTTAGGCGTCGTTACCAAAGGGTCTTCTAAAATAGAAACTAAGTCATCTGCAAATGCTTGAAGTTTGTAGCTTTCATCTCTGATTCTAGCGCCTTTAATATCCATATCTTCTCTAACACTTCTGTTTAAAATTCTAAGATCAGTATGAATAACAATGGCGATAAGGGGCATCCTTGCCTTGTGCTCTTTGAGTATCTATAGCCTCTGTAAATTCTTCATTGGCTATTATCCTGGCAGTCTGTTTTTGGTAAATACTTATTACTGCATTTATAAATTTTTCACCAAATTCCATTTGTTCTAATTGCTGTTTCAAAAATTGCCAGTTGACATTATCAAATGCCTTCTGCATATCTAGAAACAATAGTGCCATTGGTTTTTCAGAATGCACTTCATAATATTCTAAGATATCCAGGATGATCCTCACATTGTCTCTATTTTGATCTGTGTGTATGAAGTCTATTAGGAATTTCTTCAACCTTTCTGCCATTACAGAAGGAAAATTTTTATAATACACATTCAAATGTGATATTGCTCTGTAGTTTTGAATCTGTGTCAAGTCCATGTTTTCTTTTGGGATTAAAATAATATATGCCTCAACCCAAGGGTTTGATATTCAGTTTGTAGAAGTAAGGTATGTAATTTTTGCTAAAAAGCTTCTTGATGATCATTAGGTGCATAGATTGCCACCGAAAGCACCTTCTTTTGTTTTATTGTCACCTCAGTCAGTAAAATTCTACCATCTTCATCTGAAAAGATATGTCAACCTCTTTTCTTTTGGTGAGCTGAAGATATAAATAACTTGCCAAGTTTTGGACATTTCAGAAGTTTGTGATGTTATCTTTTTATGTGTTTCTTGTAGAAAAATTACATCTAATTTCAATTTTTGAAGTTGAGAGAAAATTCTTTTCCGCTTAGGAGGTGAATTTAATTCATTTATATTCACAGAAAATAATTCAATTCTTCCTTCCATTTTGAGGTCAATTTATAAAGTATATATACCTATTTATATTTAGGTTTCACGCTTCTAGCTTTTCTCTTTTCTTTTTGCTCTAATAACTGTTCGTCTCCTTGTTGATCTAGAATTGCTATTTCTCTTTCTTCTGGAAGGTAAGGTATTGCAGTCGTCGCCTTGCCATTTTTCCTTTTCTCCTTTTCTTCAGTTCGCATTTCATCTTGAAATGAACTTCTAAATTTTTCATAGAATTCTTGGGCCTGAAGATTGAATCCAGTCTAAATCTTGTAGAATTCCAAGTAAAAAGTATCCCTTCTGGTAATATCCATCTGAACATGATTCCTTTCACCATTAACTTGGAAGTGAGGAATTGATACTTCTTCTGTCCTTCTCTAATTCTCCAAGGTATTGGTTTCAAAACAGTCAGTTACATCATGTTCATCAAATTTTAGTGGTTTATCACATGAAATTCTAAGGACATGATCTCTTATAGATCTTTTTGTAAATTTAACGTGAACTTCCCTCGGAAGTTTATGCCTTCTTACATGCTGATCTGATTTGCAGATGGTACAAAATTGGCTGTGATAACTAACACCCGGGAAAATAGAAACAAAATTCAAAGTGATCTTGATAGTCTGGAGTGCTGGGTTAAAAGCAACAGAATAAAATTCAGCAGGGACTCATGCCAAGTTCTACACCTGGAAAACCAAATGCAAGTTACAAGATGGGAGATACTTGATTCAACAAGACTACAGGATCTTGAAATTGTCATAGAAGACCTATTAGTCAACAATGTGATGTGGCTGCAAAAAAAGCTAATGCTATATTGAACTTCATTAATAGAAGCACCACTTCCAAATCATGTGAGGTACTGCTTCACCCCTCTTTGGCACTGTTTAGGTCCCATCTTGAGTACTGTGTTCAGTTCTGGGCACCACACTTCAAGAAAGATGCAGACAAACTGGAAAAGGTTCAGAGAAGTGATATTGTGGTTGTAGTTAGGAGGAATCACTTCTCTTTCCAGCAGTTTGTTCATAGTGCCATTTTCACTGCAATCAGCACAGCTACAAGAGATTAGTTTTTTATCCTGCACTCAAAAAACATGTTGTATAACATTGATTTTTTTAAAACATTTCAGATCCTTAGTTTTATAAATGTTTGAGCTGAGGAGAATCAGAATATTTTAGATTGCTAAATGCATAAAGTTTTTCAGCTTGGGCAAAGCAACAATGTGTGGTAAAAAGTAAAAAAGGGCAGGGGGAGAGGTTAGGGCTGTCTCTTAACATATCACACCAGGGATGGAGAACACAGGGCTCTACAGAAGTTGATGGACTGAAGCTCCTATCAGACCTAGTCAGCAGAGCCAGTGGTGAAGGATGATGGGAGTTACAGCCTCAAAACATCTGGAGGACTGTATGTGCCCTATCGCTGCATTACAGATGAATCAAAAACTACAGGTCATCTTTAGGGATATATTTTTAACATCATTTTGACATGTACATGAAGGTAATGCTATTAAATTACAACCTGGTTTCCTTTTTAGTCAATGGGAACACTTTTATTTACCCTGGTAGAAAGGATCAAATCTTATTACAGGGGTTGCATTGAATGGATGATTTGCTTGAGAGGATTTAACAGTGGTAAGGGGGAAAGAGTTAGGCTCATATTTTTGAATGCTTTCATTTGTATTTATTGCTAATTCTCTCTCTTTCTTTTTCTACAGTCTGTGGCTGTGTCTGATGGAGGTAAGCTAAAAAAGATTTTGGACATGGCTTTTATGCATAAAAAGAACTTACATTCCTTTCCATTTGCTGATTTACATTAGCTGCTGTGGCAATCAGTAATAAATTTAGCAACGTAAAAATCTGTGTTTGCTTGTCAAATGGTATAGACTTCCTCTTTTGCCTTAAAGTTAGCAAGGAGATTTTAAATTCATACACAAAATCACTGAATGGCCATTGAGAGTCTTTGATTCATTCTGAATGGCCATAGGAATTTACTGGAAGATTCTAGGAGACTGTCTTCAAATCAAATTACCAGAAAACTTTTTTTTTTTTCATAGAAAACAACTCCACATAAAAATACTTAAGTATCTTTAGGAAATTGGAATACAACCAACAGAAAGTGGCTCCAGTATAACAGCTTAGATGTTGAAGGGCATTTCCCAAAACCACCTAGTATTATTTGCATGTCTGCAGATCCCTTCTCACATGGCAACCTTCATATATAAATTGCCTTTACTTCTGAACAGTACCAACAGCCCTACAGTAAAGAGTGGGAACCTCAGACTCCTCACAGATGCACAGGAGGTACTTCTCAGCATTCTGAGTGTCATGTAGCTTCCATATGGCCTCAAGTGCTTGATCCTGCCTAATCTTGGAAGCTAAACAGAGTCAGGCCTGGTTGAAATCTGGATGGATGATTTTAAATGTTGTGAACTACCCAGAAAGCTTTGGCTATGGGCAGTATAGAAATGTAATATAATAATAATCATACACTAGGAAATGACCCTTTCCCCAAAGGGCCATACAGCTTAGGGCCATTCTAAATGGCTGGAGGAATGAATTGGAATGATACCAGCAGACCCCAGACTACTCACAAGTTACAAACCATGTATCCTGAATTAGGGTAACTATTAGTGGGGAATCATTGGGATGGCAGCCAGTGATGAGCGGGGTCCCCCAGGGCTCTGTCCTGGGATCGATCCTGTTCAGTTTTTTCATCCATTACCTGGAAGAGGGGGTGACCAGTCTGATCAGATTTGCAGAAAATACTAAAATGGGGGCGGTGGCCACAACTGAGGAGCAAGTACTCTGGATCCAGAACGATCTGAACAGACTGTGGAAGTGGGCAGGGGATGACAGGATGGTGTCCAATGCGGATAAATACAAGGTCTTGCACTTGGGGCATAGGAATGGGTGCCATAAGTACAGGTTGGGGGACAAGTGGTTGAAGAACAGCACTTGTGAAAGGGATCTCAGGGTACTGGTCAATGGCAGGCTAAACATGAGTTAGTTGTGTGACTTGGCAGTCAAGGGGGCAAATGCCGTCCTAGGATGCATAGCCAGATCGAGAGAGGTTTTAGATCGAGAGCGGTTTTACTACCACTGTACGACTCTGGTGTGCCCACAGCTGGAGTATTGTGTTTGGTTCTGGTCTCCACATTACAGGAAGGATATAGCCAGGTTAGAATCAGTGTACAGCCACACGGATGGTGGCCGGATTGCGGGGTAAGCAATATGAGGTGAGACTAAGGGAACTGGGTATTTTCAGCCTGGAGAAGAGGAGAGTCTGAGGGGATCTGTTGGCAACATATATGTGCATGAAGGGGTGTCATAAGGAGGTAGGTAGAGACCTGTTTTCCCCTATGGAGGAGGGCAGCACGTGTTCCAGCGGAGCAAAACTCAGAGAACCATGGTTTAATTTGGATGCCAGGAAGTACTTACTGATGGCTAGGACCCCTAGGGTATGGAATGGGCTTCCACAGGACATATTGAAGCCCCAACGGTGAGAGTGTTCAAGGATAGGCTGGGCATGCACTTGGTAGGCATGTTATGACTGGAGCCAGCTGGTGCCCACGGTCAGACTAGATGGCCCAGAAGGCCCCTTCTGACTTGCTCTGTTTCTATGTTTCTATCCCTAGAAGTGCCATTTGATGTATGGTTGATAGGAATAACCCCTCCTTCTGTATGTCCATAATATTCAGATGCCATTCTGAATTGCCCTAAACAGCTCCACAGGAAAGAGCAGAACCCCATTATTGCTCATGGTTGTACCTCAAACACCTGCTATGCACTCAGCTATTGAAACAGATATCAACACAACCCAGGTTTCTTGTGTCTTCTGATTTCATGCATCTTAAGTTCTCTCTCTCTGTTTCTGTATATGTTATATGAAGTTGCTGCTTTTGATATTCCAAGGTTTGGGTGTGATGGCCTACAATAATTTTGTTCATGTTTACATAATCAGGAACAAATACTTAAAATTCATCTTCAGTTTAGTTATTTCTCACATACCTTGCTGTAATCTTTGTCTAGAAAGAAATATAGCAACATAAGATATGTAAAAACATAGACCTCTTAGACTGCTGTCCCAAGATAAGGATAAAACAATAGAGGAATAAAACCAGTAAAACAGCAACAATAACAATAAGCCTGCAGCAACTGCAGTCGAGTTGGCACAAAAGTACAGCAACAATACATGATAAAATAACTGTATTAAAACTTGAGTAAAATACCTGGAAAATAAAAAGATTTTCACCTGGAGCTAAAAAAAAAAAAAAATAGTCACCAAGCAGAACTCTTTGGGGAGCTCATTCCATAAATGGGGTGCCACAGTTGCCTCTTCTGATTCATTACTAAGCCCAGACACTGATTCGAAATGGCCACTGGCTCACCTGAGTTTGATGAAAAGGAGAAGTAGAGCTGAGACTTGTCCCATGTTGATGACACCTGATCTCATACCTCCGGATAATCTCCCCTAGTGGTTTCATGTAGATGTTGAAAAGCATGGGGAATAGAATAGAGCTCTGTGGTACTCCGTGGCATAACTGCCACAGCACAGAGAAATAATCTCCCAGCACCACCTTCTGGAATTGGTTGGTTAGGTAGGAGTAGAACCACCACAGTGCAGTATCTTCTGCTCCTAACTCAACCAGCCTATCCAGAAGGATACCGTGGTTGATTGTAAAAGCTGCTGAGAGGTCCAGATGAATCAACATGTTTGCACTCCCCCCTATCTTTCTTCTGGCAGAGGTCAGCCCACAGGGTCCCCAAGGGAGTTTCCATTCCAAAGCCAGGCCTGAAGCCTGATTGAAATGGATCTAGATAGTCCATGTCATCCAAGTGTGCTTGGAGATGCTTGGCCACTGCTCAAGCACCTTGCCCAGGAAGGGAATGTTAGCCACAGGCCTATAGTTGTTCACATCTGGGTCCAAGTTGGACTTTTTAAGGGATGTCTTAATCACAGTGTCTTTAAGAGAGGCTGAGGCATTTACAGCCTCCTGGACCCAGGTACAAATCTCTTCCTTAGTTCTAACAATAAGCCATGATGGGCAAGGGTCGAGCAGGCAGGTGGTAGGCTGAACTTGACTAAGCAACTTGTCCACATCAGACCTCCATAAGTGAAGCTAATCCAGCAAAACTGGAGCAGATGGTGCTCTGGATACCTGGTTGACCTATAAAGCCTTATATGGCTCAGAAATGCAAGACCTGATGGAGCGCCTGGCCTGGTAGGACCCTACCTTACCATGCACTGCCTCCTAGTACCTCCTTCAAGGTAGTTTAGGCAATTGGCAACAAGGAAGAACATCTTTTCAGTAGCTTCATCTTTCATTTATGGAAACCGCAAGTGAAGTCAACTTGCACCAACACTGACATCTTTTCAGTCCTTTACTGACAAGCATTTGACAGCATATGATAAGTGTTTTAAATGGGTCCTTGGACTTTTATTACTGATCGTACAGAATTGATTTATATGCACATAGTATGCAAATAGTTCTATATTATTATATTATAGCATTTAATCTTTGTAAATCACTCATCATTGTCTATTGGGCAGTATGAGAATGTAATTAATGATGGATGAGACTATGAATTTGTTATGTGTACCACTGTGAGCAACACAGATACTAATTTACGAAAAAGTGAGTGAAAAGGGATGCATAATAACCCCTAATAATTTAAAACATACAATTCTAGAGTCTTCAGAAGTCTTAAATCCTTGATCCAGTATTGAACAAGTCCACTATCCTGACTGTTAGAGCTGGACTAACTCCTTAGTTTTCTTTAGAGATGGGACAATGGCTGGAGTGCAAATGGCTGAAAAGCTGGAACAAAAGCAAATTCATTATTTTATTCCTTCCGTTACCTAACAGGGAAAGAATTTGAACAACATTGATCTAGAAAGTGCCTTTCATTTTCTTGCTGCCTGAGTGGAGCTTCTATACTTGCTTTCCAGTATAATGTGAATAATTCATGTTCCTTCAGCAACAGCGGTTAAAGGTCCTTTCATTAAATTATTTACATAGCATTTTATAATGCTTGGTGTTATATATTCGGGTTTATCTGTTCTGACTATAAGGAAGAATAAGCATTCATTACAAAAATTATAATTTGTGGAAGAGCCATTTGAAGAGAATGCAATAATAGAGTGAAGGGTGTTACAGAAGAAAAATGTACCACACTGTTCAAAGAATATCTGCCAAGCCTACCTTAGAGAAGTGCACCTGGTATGGATACAGAAGGATGGTTTTCAGTGAATGGTTTGAAGTATTTGGTTAAATGGCACCACAGTGGCTCTTACCAGCTCTATCCAGGTAATTGCTGATTATTATTTTTAAAAAGTACAGGCATTCTTAGTAGTAGGATTGTACAGATACTTCAGTGTAAAAAAATGTAATAGAAATAATTGTTTTGAAAGGGTAGTTTTAGCAACTCTTTATTTTCAATTTGATTTTTAAAACTAGATCTTTCAAACACATGACTTCTAATTAAGAGCACTGCTATTCTTCTATAAAAGGGGCGAATTATATATAGCATTTTTATGAAAGCCAAAGATATAAACAGGATTTTACATCTTACATGTAAAACTTTTACATGTTCATGTAGATGTGAATTCCCTACTCTTCATCTTCAGTTCTAACAATTATGAAGAACTTTCTTTCTGTTATAATGCAGAGCATGTGTTCTTCCACAGTTATAAAGTTGGTTATAATTTCTCAGCTGGTTTTCTATGAATCTCTGCT